ACCCCACAGCCATCATGAATGTAGACATCATGTTGTCAGAAAGAAGGATGGTGCCAATTAGCTTTTTTTTTTTTATCTTCTAGTGTTTGTTTTTCACTATGATCTATGTTTTGGTGAGCTGTTAAAACAATGCACAGATTGGTCCAGTAAAGTACTTTAAAAAAAACCACATGAAAGGATTCCTTCCAGAGAGATCATGTTTCCAACAGTAGCCTATGGAAGCTGATAAGTTACTTTTAAAAAAAATTTGTTTTGGGCCCGGCGCGGTGGCGCAAGTGGTTAAAGGTCCTCGCCTTGCACGCCCGGGATCCCACATGGGCGCCGGTTCTAATCCCGGCAGCCCCGCTTCCCTTCCAGCTCCCTGCCTGTGGCCTGGGAAAGCAGTCGAGGACGGCCCAAAGCCTTGGGAACCTGCACCCGCGTGGGAGACCCGGAAGAGGCTCCTGGCTTCGGACTGGCATAGTATTGGCCCGTTGCGCTCACGTGGGGAGTGAAACATCGGATGGAAGATCTTCTTCTCTGTCTCTCCTCTCTGTGTATCTGCCTTTCCAATGAAAAAATAATAAAAATAAATCTTAAAAAAAATTGTTTTATTGGAAAAGAGGATATACAGAGAGGAGGAGAGACAGAAAGGAAGATCTTCTGTTCAATGGTTCACTCCCCAAGGTGCTGCAACGGCTGGAGCTGAGCCAATCTGAAGCCAGGAGCCAGGAGCTCTTCCGGGTCTCCCATACAGGTGCAGGGTCCCCAGGCTTTGGGCTAATGCACACCCTGGGAGGCAGCTCATGGTGTTTCAACTACTTAGATCTCTGCCTTTCATGTGAGACCTGGATTGAGTTCATACTCCTGGTCCAGTTTTGGCTGGGCATTTGGGGAATGAACCAGCAGGTAAGAGTTTTTCTCTTTCTCTCTTCCTTTTGAAATAAATTGGAAGGAAGAAAAGAAATAGAAAATGTGAGGCAAAAGAAGGAGAAAAGGAAGGAAGAGGTAGACTTCCAACCTTTGACGTTGTCCTTCTAGACAGAAAAGAAAACAAAATGGTGTGTGTCATTTTGGGACTATATTAATATAGGGGTATTTATGAATAAAAAGTGGAAAATAGTGGGAAAAATAATTTAGAGCTGAGTGGCAGGGGAATGATTGTGTTTAGCAATACTCATTTTTCAGATGTCCTTTCATAAAAGAACAATTTTAGGTCCACCAGAGTAATTACTACCATGGCATATCAAAGCAGATAGAGCACTCGTTTGTGACTCAGCAGAAATCTGGAAAACCCTTCCACTCTGTAGTCTGACTATTTCATCTATGAAACAAGAATGTTGAGCAAGTGACTTCTAATGGGACACAGAGTTTTCAATTAATTAATTCCTTTTCCATTAATTTAAGTAAATGAAAGTGTCTTAAAATGTTGGAGGATGCAAAGTACTTGTTAAGATTCAGGATTTGAGTTTCATAAATTTTCAGGCTGTATTGACAAATTAAATTTTTTTGGCATAAAACTCTGCATTCTACTTATTTATTTAAAAAATTATTCAAAAGGCAGAACAATACAGGAAAAGAGAAAGAGAAGAAGGGAGAGAAAAAGGGAGAGAGAGAGAGAGACAGACAGAGAGAGACAGAGATACAGAGATCTTCCATCAGCTGGTTCATTCCTCAAATGGCAATAACAGCCAGGACTGTTCCAGGCCAAATCCAGGAGCCCTGAGTTCTAACCAAGTCACCCATGTGGGTTCAGGGATCCCAAGAAGTGAGGCAACTGGCACTCAAACCAGTGTTCTGGTATGGGATGCCAGCATCAGAGGAGGTAGCTCAGCAATCCATGCCACAACACTGGCCTTGATTTACCCAGTTTTCATGAAGCTGTATACTTTCAACCTACCATTAATTATGTAATTGAACACACAGTAGTATTTCTTTGAAATATGCAGAAATAGGGTTACTCAAGGTTAATTGGATATTATGAGAGAGTTAATGGAAATGTATTCTAACCACTGTGAACACAAAGATGTGTACCTTTTAGTTTTACCTTAAGAAATTAGCAAGGCTATAGAACCAGACAGAAAACAGTCAGTGTGGATCCTTACTAGGTAGGACACAAAGATTAGTTACTCCTCACTAGGATATTGAAGATTTCTCTGCACACCCCTCCTAAAACTGTTCTGTACCTCAACTGTTGACAAATGCCTTTTTAGAGTTATAAGCCAGTTTAGACTATCCTAAAATCTGCCAAGTTCAGCAAAATTATGCTTCAACACTATAAACTGCTAAATACTAAAATGGAAATAGACATGAGACAGCTGAATGGTACCCTATAGTCATTTTAAGGTGGATAGCAGCCAGTTGTGTATAAACTAAAATGAAAAGTCAATGAAGTAGTCACAGGATGTGGTTAAGAACTTGTATTTTTTTAACATATTGATTACTCAATATCATGTCAATTAATTCCATAATGTTGTAAATTGTTGCTGATGTTGTGTTGGGGCTTTCAATTGATCAGGATGATATTCTGCCAGATCAGAGATGGTCTCCCCAAGAAACTGTTGAGTTTGTCTGGACAATAAGATGCTGGCCCCCCAACCCCTTCCCGTGCCCTTCCCCCATGGTGGATTCCTCCGCCTTGTTGCAGTATTACAGTTCAAATTCAGTCAAGCTTCTTTCTTTGCAAACCTATACCAAGCATAGAGTCCAGCATCTTATTGTCCAGATAAATTCAACAGTTTCTTGGGGAGACCATCTCTGTTCTGAAGGTAGAACTGGCAGAATATCATCCCGATTAATTGAAAGCCCCAAGACAACATCAGCAACAATAATGCCATTGAATCAGCACTGATGATTTAAAAGCTGGCACTTTCAGTGCTTTTAATGACCCAGGTATTATGAATAGCTCTTATCCAAGATAAAGATGGCATTAATTCGAAATTGTGTCCCAAATATGCTACTGCTTTTTATTTAAAGTATTAAAGTAAAACTATGGTCAGAATTCTTTGCTGGAGAAATCTGTAATTCTTTATTTTCAATGAATGTATCACCAGAATGAATTCATGCCTCATTCATTAACTTTTGTGCATGTGCCTTATGTGTGTAAATTGCATACCCGACTCCTTTCTGGGTACAGATACATTGTCTTGTGACAATACTGGCAACATGTTCTGGAATAACATTAAACTAAATTGAATAAACTATCAATGCAAAATAAATTAGTTTTACTTTAAAAATGGAAAAAATGAAAACTCACAGTGATGTTTCACACAGTTGCTTTTACCGCTTGCTTTTTAAAAAGCCACTGCACATGCTAACTCAATAATAGTTACTCTATCAGCATCCTAAAATTATGAAGGTTATACATTTGAAGGCTGAAGAAAATAGGGGGTGTGAGTAGAGTAATAGGCATGTGCTTGATCCAAATTATCTCTAAGATTCAATTCTACAAGTGTGTGAGCTTCCAAATGTGTTGGGTATTGATAGATTCATTAAGTTCAGAGACATTCTTCAAGATTATTTAATGGTCTTCATTGTAAAGAACCATCACAATAACCTACATTCCATTCAAGCCTGGGTATTGGCTGAAACTTCCAGGTCACATTTTTCATGAGCAGTCATGGATAACATGATCAACTTGTACAATGCAAACAGAAATTGCTTCTGAATCCAGACAGATCACGTGGTCACATAACGCCATCCCACATAGGATAATATCTCACTTTCTCAGCTCTTCTTTAGAATACCAACGTGCATGAGAAAAGGGTGAATGATTGGCCATGAATGTGCAGATTGAGAAAAAGTCATCCTTTAACATAGTGCATCCATAATAGTCAAAACTCAGAGGTAGATCAGTGTTGTGTATGCACTATAGCCTGCCTGCCTGGCAGATTTGTTCATTTGAGGGCAAAAAGGCTGTCATTCCTGAGGCTAGGAAGCTCTCTCCAGACAGTCCTATACCCACATGCTGAGATCAGTGCCCAAGTTATTAGCATGAGGTCATACTTCGTTCACTTCAGCCAACTACCTTTTCCACTAGAGTAAGAGCAGTGTGAACCACCAGCAGTGTCAGAGAGAGATGGCTGTCTTAATGAGATGAGCCTTTTAGACACAGTTACAGCATGTGAGTGATGAGTGGAACACTGACTGCCTAGACTGAAATCATGACTCTTAAACCTAAGTCACCTCATCTGTAAAGTGGGCAGGGCAGTTTTTAAAGAATTAAGTTAGGGGCTGGCATTGTGGTACAGTGGGAATTGCCATTCCTGCAGTGCCAGCATTCTGCATGTGTCCTGGGTGCTCCACTTAGCTCCCTGCTAATGGCTTGGGAAAGTAGTGAAGGATGGCACCCATGGGAGACTTGGAAGAAACTCCTGACTTCTACTGTAGCCATCAAGTTACTGAACCAGTGAGTGGAGCTTTTCCCCCTGTCTCTCTCTCTCTAATTCTGCCTTTCAAATAAATAAGATTTTTTTAAAAACGAATACTTGGAAAACTATCATGCTTATTATTGAAACTTAGAGCTTAAAATTTAATTTTGATGTTACATTTTCTCCAGTGATTTTTCCAGCAAAATGTTCCTAAGATTATGTTTCTGAGGTGGTAATAACTGCCTATTTACCTTCATGAGCCATTTTACCTCTTTCGGCCTCATTTTCTGAGGTCTCCATGCTTCAGATGTAATAAATGCTCTAACATGATCTAATGGTTATTGTGAAATGAACAAACTTTAAAATGAGGACATGAGCAAATAGACCGTCAAAACAGTCTCTAGTCCTGACATCTCATGAGGCTCATTATTCCCTAGCAGGTGCTTATGGAACACAGCTTGGGACGCACCACTGCATTCGCTGGATGATGCTTCCGAAAGACATCTGTGCAAAATATTACATCCTTTACTTCTGATGGTTAATCCTGGACGACCTCTGACACTACTTGACTGAAACAACGACCTGGGTCAAAGAACCAATATGTTTATTTTGTGCAGAGTCCGAAAATTCTCCGTGGGGCTCAGAGAGTCCTCAGAGGAGCAGCAAGGAGCCCAGCAGCAGCTCACCCTGGCCCAGCCTGCGGCCCCGCTCCAGCCCGCGGCCTTTGTTCTCAGCCTTGATGCGCACGGCCAGGCGGCGCACCTGCTCCTCCGTGAGGCCATCGAAGCAGAAGTCCTGGTCCAGGCCGGCCTTGCGACTCTGGCCAAGCACGGCCCTGCGCTGTTTGCGTGTGGAGTCTGGAGAATGCAGGACCAGGCTGATGCGGCAGCTGATGGAGTGGGGCTCGAGGATGCCCCCGGCCTGGCCCTCTGCTGGAAGCAGCCGGATGCGGAGGTGCCCACTGCTTGGACTGTACTCGGCGGCCAGGCGCAGGGAGCAACCAGCGCGTCCCAGAGCCATGGTGCCCTCGGCTTCCAGGCATTCGGGCTGTGTGCCTGGAGCTGGCGTTAGGGACTCAGGGGCTGGGAACCTGGAGTTAGCGCCTCGCTCCACGTCCTTGTTCGCGTGGGAAACGGAGCGGGCGCGGGCTGGGCCGGGGATCCTTGGGATGCGCAGCGCTCGGCTCAGCAGCCCGGCCGGGGCACGTAGGAAGCGGCGGTCGCGGAGCCGCGGGGCGAGAGTATCCTGAGGCGGGTGGTGGCCGCCTGGGACCGCGAGGTCGGCGGTGAGCGCTGCGCTTGAGACTCGCGAGCAGTGCGGGGTCACGATGGAGGTGCCTCCTGCACCTCCTGGACTGCCGCTGTAGGTGTGAGCCCGGGGGCGGAGCGCGACAGCGTCCTGGCTACCGAGGAGGAGCGACTCCTTGCGGCGGGTGTGCGGGCTCTCGAGCAGCGCGCAGAAACCATAGACGGTGCGCGTGCGGCGCAGGTGAGGCAGCGAGAGCGCAGCCTGTGAGCGCGGGTCCCAGTCTGTGCGGCCGGCGCTCTCGTCTGTCCCTGTCTCCTCACTCCAAGAATTCTGGAGCGTGGCCAAGGCCAGGCTGCGGTCGAGTCTCGGCGGGATGCAGAACTCAGGGATGCGGTCTGGGGTGAGCACGTTCACGCACGGGGGCGTGCGAATCCTGTCCGGGCGAGCCCGGCCTGAGAAAAGCCCATCTCCGCTCCGCAGGAGGCGCTCGGGATTCAAACCTAGTCGTTCCAGGCACCACATTTGGCGTCAGGTGCACAATCGCGATGACCGTGAGCTGGTCAGCCTGCAAAGCACAAGCACACAAGGATTATCATAGCGAGCCCCGCGGGGTGCACTCATTTATGTCCCTTGTGTTGTACGTCCGAGTGCCTCCTGTCTGCCGGGTACAGGCAAACTGCACCTACCGTTTTTGTTTTTTTTCAGTGATTAAAAAGCTAATTCTGTCTTAACTACACGCACGTTCGAGGGGCTGCTTGTTTTAAATCTCTGTAGCTTAAAGTGGAGATGACCAAAAATTAAATGTCCCAAGGGGCTTTGCTTCTCAGCGATCGTTTACTGCATTCGTAAGGGAGTACTGCTTCGGGTCTAACAATGAAAATTAAAATAATTGCCAATCCCTCCAGGAAACTGGGATTTTTCTCTTTTCCTTGTAGAGGTAAAGCCTCAGATGAAAGCTCCTCCTTCCCCCCGGGTGGGATTAAACAAGCCCACAGATCCCCACTTACGTACCTAGGGTCTGGCGTCAGAGGGGTGTCCACCACCTTTTGCCTTGGGCAAGTAGCGGGCGGGGCCCGCAGCCCCTGAGATTCAAAGCGCGCGCGGTAGGGTTCAGCACCCGGGTCCTAGGACAGCGGGTACGAGCTTTTATACCCAGTGCCGCGAGCGCTGGCCAATACGCGCCAGCGGGGGGGTGAGCTCCCTGGTAACCTGACACCAGGCCAGCCTCTTTCGTGCTGCCACGTGGCGCGGATCTGGATACTTTCTCTTGCTGCAGGTGGAAATGTTGGAAACCCCGGACAAGTTTTCCTTTCCTCACAGTTCTAAAGAGGTTTAAATTTTGACGTTATGGCAGCATCACTGTGAAGACTGAGTGGTTACAATCACGGTGAATGCATAGAAGCACTCTACATCCACCATGCAAATGATGGCAAAAGTTGGGTTTGCCTCTTATCCAATACCCTTCCTCAAACCTAGCCTTCCAATTGTCCAATCTTCAGACACTCTTGGTTTTCCAGGTTTCCATCCTGATTTTAAATAGTCTTTTTTGGTTTTGTACTGCTGGGGATTGGGTGGGAACCTTAAGGGGTACTGGAAACTTTTCATATCTGGAACCAGGTAGAGTTACAGTGCTGGGGTGTGTCATATGTCAAAGAAGACATCTAAAAAAAAAGGCGGTGTCCAATGTGTGCTTAAGATTAGGGCACTTTATCGTAGATACACAATATCTACAATATCGGACTGAGAAAAAAAATCACAACCTGCTTCTGAAGCTGTGTGTGTTGAATTTTGACTGAAAAAATAATACTCCTGTTAACACCTGGACTCATTCTTGGGAGGCACCCTGACCACTTGGGACCTCCTGAGGCTGTGCCCACCTAAGACAGACTTCTCCTTCCTTTTAGAGTGAGCCTGTGTTCCTTCTGTAAGAGCTGCTTTCCGTCAGCTCAGGCTGAAAGAAACCTGAAGCATTTTGTTCAACATTTTGGTATGTGGTATTTCCGCCTAGGATACCAACCTGTGATTTGTCACTTCTCCAAATAATATTTAGTGAACTGAATTCATGCAAATATATGTGTAGGGGATCTATCTATCTACCTATCTATCTATCTATCATTTTCAGGACATAAAGGCACATAAGATGATTTAATGATAGTCTTAGAATTGTCACAAAAACGTGCAAATTCTGATTGTCATTGTCTTATAACTGACAAATACTTTGAGAGATCCATTAACTTATCCAAACTCACTAAGTGAAGATGGAGAATGGAGAAAATAATTACTAATGGGCATAACTAAGTTGTTTTGGGGAGTAAATGCTATAAAATATTTTTCTCTGTGCCTAGAACATAGTCAGTATTAAATATGCATAAGCAGTATTGACATTAAAATGGAATGGGAGGCTGTACAGTGGTTAAGGAAAGATGGATCTGACAACATACCTGACATTGCTTCCACCATGGTGGCTCACTTGGGCTGCAATTAATGTATTCAACCTTTTTACACCCTAGGATCAAATGCAGAAATGATACTAATACATAACTGAAGATCCATAGAGTTGTCATGAGTACAATGCACATGCAAAGTTCAGCCTAGAGCCTGATGTGCATTGTCAGATATATTTATTTTTATTGCAGAGGAGAGCAAGTGCTCATTCATTCATTCATGCTGATATTTAGTGCATGCTTCCTGGATTCCTGCCTCCACACTACACAAGAGAATCCAGGATGCACAAGACTGGATCAGCTATGTTCATCCATCAGAAAAGAAATATGATGATGAGGGTGAAGTAGCAGACATGAGTGAATGGTTTTCTATATATTCTTGGGGGAAAGATGGGTGGGTCTCTGGGTCTGAAGTGTCTTTGAGTAGTTACTTCTTTGTCTTGATATCTTGAGCCAGGGCTAAATCTATGAGAGCATGATTAGCTAGTTGTGTTTTTGAAAGTTCTCTGCCTGTGCTGACTCAGCTTTTCTCAGGTGACAACATGCTGTTAGCTCCTTGTGTGAGATCATAGAGAGCCTGTGGTTAAAATGAAGACAGATCACAGCTCACACTCTTGAGAAATTGATTAAGAAGTTAAACAAATATATTTAACATGTTTGAGTCCGAGGTGTAAGAGGGTAATAATACTTATATAAAATTGTCTTAAGAGTTAAAAAGATACATGTGGAAATGGTTGTCAGGGAGTAAGTGCTGGCGAACAGCTAGCTGTTATTATTAAGCACGTTAGCCTGGTCAAAGATTAGCTGATGCACACATGGATTCTTTGTAAAACATTTCTCTACCCAGCCAACCAAAGCAGATTTGTTTTGTTTTTATTAATGGTTCCTCTTCAGTAATGCCTCGGGAAGCATTTCCTGTGCAACACTTCTTGAAAACAGCCGAGTTTTGTCCTCATGTGACTGTTCCCCGTGAGCACATTAAGCCTCATGTTTTACCTGACACGGAAGCATGAGCCATCCAGTACTAGGGAGGATGGTTTAGCAAGGTCAGGTTAAGTACCTGGACACACAAATACATTCTCAGAGGAAGACCATGGCCATCTTGAATGCACAGCTGGAGCTTCAAAACATTCAGTAATGGAAAATACCTGGGTGAAGTAAACAGAAGCAGGTAAACGGAAGCTGAGCATTTTAAAGCAGACACACAACACTTGTGTAGGGCACGCTGCATGTTAAGGAAAGGAAGAAAGGCTTATGGTTATGATGGAGAAAATGCTTCCAGATGACTTTCAAATGTCTGCCTCTAACATTGTGGAATCGATCCCTGTGTTTCCTCATTAAATTTTTACTCAGCCCGTGGTATTGTGGCTTATTAGTTTTTTCATACATATCCTGATTTCCTTTTTTATACAAATGTTTTTGTTGTTTTTCCTCAAATGGTCCAGAGTTGGGAAATGGAGTGGGAGATAATCTGAAGCTAGATTGCCTTACTTTTTAAGAATTCTTCATTTGCCTATTTTGACTTTTGTTTTAGCAGAAATATTTCACTCATCTGTATTTGTTGCTCAGTATCTCACTGCAGTTCATTTTCATAACTGCCTTTGTTAGCTTTCTGGAATGAAGGTAATATGGAGACTTCATTTTCTTCAGTTGACCTCTGTAAATTCTTTCTGGCACAGTGGTAGAAAGCTTACTGAAGAGCTAATGATTTCTCAACACAATACTTTATTTCAAATTACGATTGTGATTTTCTGACTTCATAATGAAACATGGATGATTTTGGCAATTTGTATTTTTTTTTAAATATGTATTTTTATTTTTTTTTTTATTGGAAAGGCAGATATACAGAGAGGAGAGACAGAGAGGAAGATCTTCCGTCCGATGATTCACTCCCCAAGTGAGCGCAACGGCTGATGCTATGCCAGTCCGAAGCCAGGAGCCTCTTCCGGGTCTCCCATGCGGGTGCAGGGTCCCTAAGCTTTGGGCCGTCCTGGCCTGCTTTCCCGGGCCACAGGCAGGGAGCTGGAAGGGAAGCGGGGCTGCCCATATGGGATCCCGGGGCGTGCAAGGCGAGGACCTTAACCACTTGCGCCACCGTGCCAGGCCCAACAATTTGTATTTTTTTAAACATTTCTTTTTATTGGATAGGCAGATTTACAGAGAGAAAGACAGAGGGAAAGATCTTCTATAAATTGGCTCACTCCTCAAGTGGCCATGTGGGAGCAGGGTCACAAAGCATTGAGCCATCCTCTCCTGCTTTTTCAGGACACAAGCAGGGAGCTGAATGGCAAGTGGAGCAGCCAGGACAGAAACTGGCCCCCCATATAGGATTCCGGCATTGCAAGATGAGGATTAGCCAATTGAGCCATTGCTTCAGGCCCGATTTGAGGAACTATTGTAATATTTATAACACTTTGTCAAAACATGTTGAGCGATAAATAAGTAAAATTTAAAACTGTAGTATAACAATAGCATTATTTGTACTTTTATTGTCTTTAAAGATTTTTAAAAGTTTTTTTTTAATGTCTTTCATTTTTATTTTTTTCCTGGAAAGGCAGAGTTACAGAGAGAAGGAGACACAGAGAAAGATCTTCTACCCACTGGTTCATTCCCCAAAAGCTGCAGCAGTTAAAACTGAGCTGATCTGCTGCTGGGGGTCAGGAGCTTCTTTTGGGTCTTCCCATGTGGGTGCAGGAGTCCAGGGCATTGATTCACCCTCTGCTGCTTTCCTTGGCCATAAGCAGAGAGCTGGATGGGAAGTGGAGCAGCCAGAACATGAACCAGTGGCCATATGGGATGCCAGTGCTTGCAGGCAGAGGTGGCTGCGGTGGCCTGTTGAGCCAGCCACAAGCAATTTCTGTATTTATTTGAAAGGCAGAACAACAAAAAGAGGGAGAGACAAATTTTCTGTCTCCTGGTTCACTCCCTAAATGGTTGTAACAGCAAGGTCTGGGCCAAGTGGAAGTCAAGAATTGGTCTTTTTCAAGGGTCAAAGAGACAAAAGCACTTGGACCATTATCTGTGGCCTCCCTAAATTCATTAGCAGAACAGCTGGGATTGGAACCAGTGCAGGTACAGGACACGGGCATCATAAACCTAACCCACTGCTTCACAATGCTGGTCCATGTATTAAACATTTTGAGCTTAATTTTCTAAGAGATGTTTTATTTTGCTAATACCAAAAGTGATATTTCTGAGAAATACTAGCCCAGCTGTTATGAAACAGAATTACTGAAAGAGAAAAGTTGAGCTCAGAGAGGCAGAGGACATTAATACCATTTGTGGGCTTTCGGTAAGTAATTTAATATCCCTGAGCTTGATTTTTTTTTTTCTTAAGAGTGTGGACAATACTAACTGTATTGCTTGGCTCGTAGATTGTTTTGTGATTACAAGGAAATACTGGTATTGGGAAACTAGTAGTAATTGAAAGATAAACTTTAGGTTAAGTACCCCTTGTATGAAATGCTTTGGAATCTGAAAACTTCAGAGCACCAATACAGCATTCAGAAGGGCTTAAGATTACATTATGGAGCAGGCCAGATTTTTGTGTTGTAAATAATCAGTAAAGTCCATGTAAACATTTCAGAACCCTCCAAAATTCCAAAATCTGAAACACTTATGGTACTTCACATTTTGGATAGAGGACACTCAACTTAAGAGATGAGGCATATAAAAATTGATATATTTTTTTTTTCTTTTGAAAGTATAAGAAACTATTATGCAAGGCACTAGCAAAGCTCATGTCTCCCCCAGGATTATGCCTTTTGTTCCACTCAGGAGACCATGCCAGGAAGCCTGGGTCATGTTCTGACTGTTCACGTGTCCTTGCATTTTTTTCTTAATTTTTTATGGCCACTTTATCAGAATATAGTTCCTTTGCACTTGCCTCAGAGCAGAGGTAGTGAGAATAAAAGGTGATTTGGGGTGGTATACTGCTAGGACTGCTAGGAAGTAGAAGTAGAAATCACCTGGGGACACATCAAGGAGGGAATTCTGAGGACTGAGAAGTCACACTGGCTTTGAGCAGTTGACTAACCTGAGGTTGGGAAGACTGACAGTGTAAAAAAGAGGTGAGAGCTAGACACGTCTCCAGGCCAGGGGTGGCGTGTGCAATGTGCATGGCTGCATGAGGAGATGAGGGTAATTAAGGAAATAAGGTGATAGCAGGGGCTGGTTTGGCAGTTTATCAGTTGTGCCAGGAAGATGTAAACCTTAAGTTTCTTCTAGGTATTTTGTTTGGGAGGGGAAAAACAGTTGAGGATTTCCGGTGGCAGGAATGAAATTGGAGGTGGATGTTTATGATTCTGTTAATACGTTTGTTCCTCTTTTGTACCTTCCGTGGTAGATATTTTCTTTTTTTTTTTTCAATCTCCAAAAGACACACTTAGGAAGTGTTCTCTTTGACCCTGTAGCTCATGCTAACAACAACGCAGCATTCTCTTTCAGACATAAACTGGGACAGGTGCAGGTCGCAGGGAGCTGGTACCGGGGATGCAGAGAAATGCGCTGAGAGTCACGCCCGCGCTGTCCAGGTTCCCACCTTACAGGGGATCTGCCCAGTCCCTGAGGCCCCAAGCAAGCCTCTAATCCCGCTCAGCCCTGCGTCGGGGACTTCAGCCTTCAGCCAGGCACGTTTAGCTCCACAACCTTAAAAGAAAATCAAAAACAGAAACAATACACTATTTCTACTTGCCTGTCTGTGGAGTGACCACACTTCCATCATCCAAGCAAAGCATTTTAATAAAATTTCTGTGTACAATGGTTTAACAGTTTTTTTTTTTTGAAATGTATTTTAGAAAAAGAAAAGCTTTTCAGTTCTCGCTGGGGAACTGGTTTGTCAAGGGGTGCTTTCACTTCAGCAGGGCGGCAAGACTTTGGCTTTGAATGGCTGGCCGTCCCAGACACGGCTCAGTGTCAGCACAGCAAAAAGTAAATATACAAACAACAGCCAGCACGCACTCACCCGGGTAAAAAAGAGTAAGGGAAGTATTCCGGTTTGTGAAGAAGGAACGAATGTAACTTCTGGAAAAGGGCCGGATTTAGCTCATCGCGTCTGAAGTTCTCACTCTGTCTGCCATCTTGATGCGGCTCAGGGCCGCCTCTAAGTTAGGAAGGTGTGTTTTTGAGAATCTGCCCCAGTCGGAGGCGACGGGCAGCAGGACAAGAATTCAGGGTCTCCATCCCCCACCCCCAGGTCCGCAGTGGAAGCCGCGGTTGTGCAGGAGTCGCCGGAAGCGCCTGCGGCCCTAGCTCAGCAGTAGGCGGTCACGTAGCTGTCCTCGCGCCCAGGAACGCCGGGTCGCCCTTTTCCTCCTCGAATGTTCTGTTTCTCTTCCGCGTAGGCCGCTGGGATTCGGCTGCGGAGGGTCCCCGGGGCTCGGGCTGGCGGGGCCCACGCAGCGCCGGAGGGCTCGGCGGCGGCGCGCCTGCGCACACTCGGGGTCACGCGCGCGGCGCGGGGGCGGGCTGGCGGCCGAGGGGCTGTCATTCGCCGGCCTGGGCTGCGCTCCGTGGTTCCGGCTCCTCCTCCCGCCGCCTCAGCCCCACCATGGTGTTTGAGTCGGTGGTCGCGGACCTGCTGAACCGCTTCCTGGGGGATTATGTGGAGAACCTGAACAAGTCCCAGCTCAAGCTGGGGATCTGGGGCGGTGAGTGAGAGGGGCGCGGCCGGCGGGCGCGGAGGGGCCGCCACCGGCGGGGGACTCGGCGTCCGGGATGGGGGCGACAGGTGCGGGTCGCGGTGGAGCCTGTGTCTGCCCGCGCCCCGTCCTCCTCCCTCAGGTTCCCGGGATGACCACGACGCGCGTGACCGGAGGCGGGGAGATGCTGCGGGGGTCACACCCGCGCTGTCCCGGTGCGGTGCCCACCCTCCCCGACCAGCCAAGCCCCTGCCCCGCTCTGCAGTGTCCATCTCGGAGGGCTTCCCGTGACCTTCAGTGCGGCGCCTTTAGCTCCAAGGCCTTCAGAGTGAAACGAAAACAAAACTACAACACCATTTCTGCCTCCGCTAGCAGTGGAGTGACCACAGCTTCCTAATCATATCCCGATAAATAAAGTAGCGTCCAGGGAAATGGAGATTGCGTCCCGCCGTTCTCCTCTGGAGCATTTTACACTGTGAACAGGATCTGCTTTTCTTCTGTTTTGATTTGAGGAGGGCTAGGCACTGGAAGATCACTCAGAAAGGCGTGCCCCTAAGGGCCCCTTCCACTCTTCTTGCGTTTAGCTTCTGAAGAAGCAATTTCTTCTCTTAAGACTTAGCATGGGAGGAGTCTTGGCCTTCAGGTGTAGTTTGGGAAGGGTGGAGAGAACCTCAGGCCCGGGCTAGCATCATCATTAATTAGTGCCTGCTTGGTTATGTGCCCAGGAATGTGTGCCAACGTTTTCATCCTAGAGATTAGGTGTAGAATACTTGACAATAAGTATGTTATGCTTGCTTATCCTGTCAAGAGCTAGGTGATGTGCTTGAATTAACGTGTTAAAATTTGGGGATATTGGGTACTTGGTCACCCTCAAGAAGATTGGAGCATTTGAGGAAAAAAAAAAAACTTTCAATGAAACTGCTTCAGTTAAAGACCCAGGCTGGTTAATAGGATAAGCACCAGCCCCTGTAGCTAATAAGTACTTGCAGTGTGTGGGTAGTTCAAATTGAAATGTGCTGCAAGCAAAAAAGACACACAGACTTTTGAACATATTTTTGTCTCCTTTTGAAACAAGGGGACATCTACCATGTTTATAGCTATGCAATGTGCAGTAGCTAAGATATGGGACCCACCAGGGGCCCATCAGCTGATGACTCGATAAAGAAAATGTGGTACAGGTCTACTGTGGAGTAATACTCTACTCACCCATAAAAAAGAATCAGGTTTTAGTATTTGCATGGACCCAGCTGAAAACCACTGTGCTTAATGAAATAAGTCAGTTCCCAAAAGACAGGTATCACGTGTTCTCCCTGATCTGTGACAACTAAAACACACAGCACGATAAGTGTAATCTCTATGAGTGACATTAGAATACTGTGAAGTAACTGTTGTATGCAGCAGGAGTCTACTCCTGAGTAACAGGAGGAGTTCCATTTTAACTTTAGTTTTTTGTATGCAATCTTATTTTCCTTTTTCCTTCTAACTCTACTAGCTATGTCATAATACCTTTAATATTGGAAAGTTAAGCTTGCTACAGTGAATGTGGTATTATAATCATTTGGGAAAAAATAATAAAGGAGAGAGAGGGTAGCAGGAAGGGGAGAGAAAATAGTGAGATCTCTATCTTTTAAAATCTGTATTGTGAAAGCTACTCATTTTATGTAAATTAAAAATAAGAATAAAATATAATTAAAAAGAAATAGGTGAATTAGTTTTTATGTTGAGATATTTGAACATATTGAATTAAATTATAAAAACCCACTTACTTTTTTTTCTTTTGGTATGGCTCCTCACATCTGTAATTATGTATGTGGGCCATATATTTGTGCCCAGTGCTGTTACAGAACCTGTGAATGCTGCCTGGAGCTGTGGACGAGGAGCCTTTTTTTTTTTTTTTTAAACTAGGTTTCTGGTCATCTGATCACTGTAGTTGTTTCAGAAATTAGTGTGTTTCCTCCTTCCTCCACCAAATATAATGCTAAAGAAAAGGAAGAAGGATGCCTAAGGACTGAATAATCAGGACTTTTTGTGGAGACCATGTGTTCCTTTGAAATACTGGCAGTAATACCATTTGTTACTTGTGTTTAGTAAACATGATTTGAGATTTGAAAAAAGCCAGCGGGTTAGTAAGCCTGCCTTCTGAGAAAGCATTGAGTTGTAGGTCTACTGGGTTGCTGTGTTGGATAACTCATTTGCCCTTCTAGACCTTAGTTTGTTCATCTCAGTGGACGCTTTGTTAGTTTGCGGCTCAGGAGATACTTGACTAAGGTCCATGACATATTCTGCTTGCTGTGCTGAGAGAGGTGTGCTGCTCTTGGGAGCTGGTTGCTCTACTGTTAAACATCCTACTGCACACACAGCAGGTCTTTGTAACAGAGAATTATTGAGCCCTAGGTGTCAGTTGAGAAACCTGGTCCAAGGAGAATACCAAGTTCTTCTGGGTTAAGAGGAGATCTACCTTGTGTCGAACAAGCTACAATAAGAAATAAAGGACTTAGGGAATAGATTTCTCTCACAGAATTTATAAGAAGAGAAAGATTAAGAGGTAACTGAAAATTACAAAGTTGATAAGAATGCGTACTTTGATAATTTCAGGAAGTTGTTGTTTACCACTCAAAGTACTGCAACAGGAATTGAAAAATATGCTGTGTATACATTTGTACATGTATAGTTAGTGGCAGTGAAATCTACAGTGAGCAAAAACATACAATGAGAAGGATGGAGAAAATTATTGGAATGTCAAAGACCGAAAGTGTTCTCCCAATATTGTCTTTATTTAATTGTATTTTAAAAAAAGATTTATTAGTTTAGCGCAGTAACAGAAAAAGAGAGGGAGAGCAAGACTGTTTCCATTCATTGGTTCACTCTCCAAGTAGCCTCAACTGGCAGAGCTGGCTTCTCTGATGCCAGGAGCCAGGAGCTCCTTAGTTCAGGGGCCCAAGCACTTGGGAGCTGGATCAGCAGTGGAGTAGCCAGGACGTGAACCATCATACACACTGGCCCTAAATGTATTTTTAAAGAGTTTTACTTATTTATTCAAAAGGCTGAGTGATGAGTGTGGAGAGGGAGGGAGAAGGCAAAAGGACAGACAGGGAAAGATATTCCAGTTGGTGTGTATTCCCCAGATACCCGCAGTAGCGTGAGCTGGATGAGGCCGAAGCCTGGAACTCCTTGGTTTCCCTTGTGGGTGTCAGGGATCCAAATGCTGGAGCCATTGCCTGCTGTCTCCCAGGGCGTGCGTTTGCAGGAAGCTGAATCAAGCAGAGAGTGCATTTGTGTCCTAAACAGTGTCTTAACTGCTGTGCCTAGCACCCACAGCACTGGATATTGCCTTTAAGTTGGAGTTGAAGAAAACAAATGAAACACATGCCATCCTTTCTTCCCCCTGTTTTTATTCTTAAAAGATCTTTTTTTTTTCCCATGCCAAGTGATTACTGTATAATCTTAAAAAGTGATTTAGGAAGACTTCTGCATAAAATTAAGACCTAATTATTTGCTGAGTGTAAGCTCCAGTGCAAAATATATCAATTTTTAAGCCCCCGTCTCATAATATGTACAAAGACTATATCAATATTATGAGAAAAGTGTGAAAATCCTTTATTTTTGTTAATAATACAGTAATACTGATGGTAAACTTGACTGAATGATGGAAAACAACCTATTTTGTTTTATTTTTTAAGTATAGTATGTTTTGTCTAACTTCAGCCTTTAGGAGTTTAATATACTATAGAGTGACAATTTTGTGTAGAGTCAGCCTTAGGTATCTAAATATTTATTTTCCAAACAGGCTTCTAAAAGAAAAAAAGAAACATTGAATTTGAGTTTGTATTTTGGATGCTTTTCTTACATGCCAGCCAATTTTGACAGGCTTAAGTAAGACCTGGTAGACACGTTCTACCTACTCAGACAAGATGCTTTATCTGGATTTTTGTTTCCCACAGACTGATACCAGGAGGTGAATTACATAGCCCTTAGTGATTTGAGATATGTCCAAGATGTAATTGTTTTTGAATAACATATTTGAGACGGTGTGTTGAAATGCTGCATCTTTTGTAAGTTGGCATGAATAGTATCACTGGAATGTAGAACCTCTGTCAGTCTGAATTTCAGGGTTTTTTGCTGTGGAAGAGCAAGAACATCCTCCAGTCAGACCTCTAGCTTTCAGTTGGGCAGGTGGAGTAAACACAGGGGCAGAGGTTGGCTATGGAGGCCAAGGATGGGAGCTTCAGAGCGTGTTGCTGTGCAACCCAGACTGAGCCTGTGCTGTTTTCCCTACTGTCCTTCACCCTCCTCCTGGCACTTCTTCATCAGCTCCCTGGCTTAGACTGAATTTCACTTGCTCAAAATGGTTGGGGCTGGAAATGCCAGGGCCAGAAATGTGTTAGATTTCAGGTTTTTTTCCTTCCTTTTTAGAATTTGAAATTTGAAATAGTTGCATGTACATAATGAAAGTTTGGGGGAATGATATCTCAGTTTAAACTCAAAATTCATTTGTATTGCCTATAAGCCTTTATACAAGGCCTGAAGGAAATATAATGCATCATTTTTATATATTTTTTTAAAAAAATTTATTTATTTTTATTGGAAAATCAGATGTGCTGAGAGAAGGAGAGATAAAGATCTTCCATCCACCTGTTAACTCCCTAAATGGCCACGAGAGCCATAGCTGAGCTGACCCAAAACCAGGAGCCGGGAACTTTTTCTGGGTCTCCCACATGGGAGCTGTCCTAGACTGCTTTCCCAGGTTGCAAGTGGGGAGCTGGATGGGAAGTGGAGCAGTTGGCACACGAACCAGTGCCTATATGGGATCCTGGCAGTGCAAGGTGAAGATTCAGGCACTGAGCCATCATGCCAGACCCCCTATGCCTGTTTGTTTTTAAATTTTACTTTAAAGATATGTATTTATTCATTTATTTGAAAGGGGGAATCTTCCATCTACTGATTCACTCCCCAAATGCCTTCAACAACTGGGCCTGAGCTGTCCTGACTCCAGGAGCATATAATTCCTC